CCAGCACAGGGAGTGGGGGGCAATTGATGGAGGGTGATTTGGCCCAACCTCGTAGCACGGGGACACGTGGGTGTGACCTTGCCTAAGCGATGACTCAGCGTGACAGCACAGCAAGCATAGCCGCAACTCGGTGGGAAGGGCTCACCGAGTTTAAGCTGGCAACTCGGTGGGTTAGGCTACTCGCCGAGAGTCATCTGGTTTGCACCTTCTTCCCAAGGCTGAGGCGCTCCGAGCTACCTCCGAGCTTGAGGCCCCCTGACTTTTCCTAATGCCTGAGCTCCTCCCAGTGGGTTCTAGGCCATTCCCAAAACGAAACACCCCGATCCGCCTCTAGACACCCCGAGGGAGAGACACCTTGGGTCAGCGCCGCTGGTGTAGCTCGCCATAGGCAGCTCAGCAGAACTTGCCACAGGCAGCTCGCCGCTTGCAGGGTAGCTCGGTACAGGGTAGCTCGTAGAAGAGCAGTTCGGCCTATCACAGGAAGATCTCCTGCTTGACAACTGTATCTGGCAAACCTTTAGACTGCGACCACGTCTTTTGTCAGACGGTGTCGTGCCCGCCACCTTTGAAAGATGTCCTACATCTGACAAGTACGTACCCTGTAGTGACGGCCCCGCACGTGCCACCTCAGCTCTGGCTGTAACGGCTGCGGCAGGACGACAATGGCGGTTATACCTGCCCTGACAGAGATGAGCCTGATTTGGCAAAGTTCTGTTATAAGTTGTCCCAATCCGAAAGGGCAGGTGATCTCTTGATACCTGTGCTATCTGCACTCTTAGCCCCCCTTTACTCTTCTTGCATTTTTCACAGAGCTCTAACTTAAGCATCAGAGTGTTCCCGCCGGGCAAGTCCCCCGGGAATTCCTCGTCTTCTCCATCTCAGGTACCACCCAGGAGCCACGCAACCGTCAATTATGAGTGACCGGATCGCGCACCATCACCAACAACAGTGGGGTCATTTGTCAACTATGCAACTGGCTCGAGCATGCTGTTCTCACTTGTCGGCGACGGTTTGATATCTCTTACCATGGCGAGCAGAGCACTCCAGCACAGGCATATCAGGCGGCTTTTCCACCTACATCTCAGTTCTCCTCCACCTTTGATCCAAACTGGTATCCAGATTCTCGGGCGACCAATCACATGACACCGGATTTCAGCAATCTCCAAATGTCCCAAGAATACACCGGCAGTGAGCAAGTACATTCTGCATGTTCCTTCCATTTCAAAAAATTTAGTCTCTGTATCCCAGTTTACCCGTGACAATAATTTAATTGTGGAATTCCACCCTTCTCATTTTCTTGTGAAGGATCGGATCTATCACGGGGAGGGAGGTTCTTCGCGGGCCCAATGTTAATGGGCTTTATCAGTTTCCATCATCTTTGGCCTGTTACAAGGCCCGTCTGGTTGCTCGTGACTTTACCTAGCAGTATGGGTTGGACTACACCGATACTTTCAGTCCTGTGATCAAGCCCTTCACCATTCGGGTTGTTCTCTCGGTTGCTGTCTCCAAAGCGTAGCCCATCAAGCAGTTAGATGTACATAATGCTTTCTTGCATGGCCTTCTTGACGAAGGCATTTATATGGCCCAACCCCCTGGGTTTGTGGACTCTGCTCAGCCCACTTTTGTCTGCAAATTGCATAAAGCCTTATATGGGCTCAAGCAAGCTCAGTGGGCCTGGTTCTTTCAGCTGTACTAGTGGAGACCCGTGTGATATACGGGATTTGTTAAGCGAAAGCTAAATAATAGAAAGCGTCATTTAACGCCCCTTATCATGGACTTACTAAAACTTACCCTGTAGTTTGTATTTTACTAAAACATCACTTATAATTTACTATGGATTTAATAAATCTTCCATTAGATGACAGTGGAAAATGACAGTGCCGACCCCAATGTTTATTTAAACAAATTTTATCAAAATAAAATAAAAATAAAAATACCATTTTTTGCCCCTAATAAGACATGGGCAACCACTCTATTGGTTATATTTTGTCAATTTTGTTTTTTGTACAAAAAAGTGATATAGGTATTTTTTGAATAAAAAATCATGACCCTAATAGAAAAACAAACACTCCTTAACGAAAGGTTGATTAAGTAAATAAGTTGTAAAATATATGAGATATTTTATTCAAATGAAAACTATAAGATAGGTTTAAGTAAATATATGTAACTCTAAGGTGTGTTCTACTAAATGACCCTAATAGAAACACATAAGAGTTGGGGTGTCAATGGACCGATTTTGGTTTGGATGGATTGGATGGACCAATAAACATATTGAATTTGGACAGCCTAGACGGACCAATGACATATCGGATTGGACCTGGTCCATCCATAATGAATTTATATTGGATTGAGCCAATATTGGGTCCATTGATAGAAAATAAGAACATAGGTGTCAACTCACCAGGTTTCAATTGAAACCAATCTAAATTAACAGAAATTTGAACAAATTGGACAGTCTCTAGACTGGTCCAAAATAGTCCAAAATATTCATTGGACTGGATTGGACCAGGTCCATTTGTAATGGACTCACATTGGACTGGACCGGATTGGACCAAATGCAGTCCAATTGACACCCCAACATAAGAGTATACAACTATTTTATATTTTCAAATCTATAAATAATTAATATTTATTCATATGCTATATACTACTTTTAATAAAATTTTTATAATACAAAAATAACAATAATTAATTTCAGTTAGGTTTATTCATTAAATTGATGAAACCGACCAACCTAATCAACTTGACCTGACCATATTGGATCAATTTTGCTTTGGCCATTTGTAAGTTGACCAAAATTGGATGATTTGACCCTTGATATATATATATATATATATTTTATATTTTAAATATAACTTTTAATATGAAAAAAGTGGGAAATTTCCCATATTTCTTAGTCTAAAATGTTTTATATCATAAATTTCATTTTTAAATTTACTTTTTAACAATTGCACTATAATTTTTAAAATTTAAATTTAATTTTCAAGTTTAAATCTTTTGAACGAACTGACTGAACCAAAAAATCGACCCAAACTAATACAACTTGAGTGGGTCGGTTTTCACAAATGGTAGTCGGTTTCAACTAACCAGGTCAATTTGGTTGGCAAAACAACGTACAACCGAACCAAACCAACTCACAAACACTCAAAATTTCAGATAAATTAATAGTCTCATCTTTGATTAATAACAATATTTTAATCTCCAATAATTGTTGAAAAATTATAGCAAAAATACACAATTATTAAAAAATATATTGATAATGAAAAAATACAATTAGTACAAAAAATATATTGAATTAGTCAATAAATAGTATAACCTCAAATAATAGTATAATCTCTAATAAATATTAATCAATAAGTTATATAAAAATACAATAAATACAATAAACAAAATTTAAAAATTTCAATAATAGTAGTTTAATCTCCAATAATTATTGAAAGTTTTTTGATAAATAAGAAAACAAAAAGAAATTATACATAATTATATCAAAAATAAATTTATCACAAAAAATAATAAATAATTACCGACATACAATAAATATTAATATTAGAATATATAATTATAAAATAAATATATATTGAGAGTTTAAAATGATTATTAATAAATATTAATTTTTATGAAAGTTATTTTCTCGAATTATTAATTGATAAAAGCGAAATTAGTTACTTACAATATTATGTAAAATTATTAAATTATTATTAAAGTTATATAATTATTAATTTATAAAATATTAAATTATTATTATAATTTTCAATATTATGTTATAATTAGTTTTATACTTTTCATATTGTTTTAAATTTATTATATAACTTCTTTATTTTAACTAATTTAAAATCTAGTTCTGTTAAATATTTTGTTATTTAACTACTAAAATAATATGTAAAATATTTAAATTTTAAAATATTAATTATTTATTGAATTTAATAATCCTTAAAATTATAATTTATACTATTATACATAATTTTATTATCAACTTTGTAAGATATTGAATTATTATTAATTTCGTATTATGCTATAATTATTTTTCTACTTTAAGAAATTTTTTAATTTATTACATAATTTTGTTATTTTAACTATTTAAAATCTAGTTATGTTAAATATTTAATTATTTAAATATTTAAATAGTATTTATAATATTTAAAGTTGTTTGTTATTTACTAAATTTAATAATCCATTAAATTATAATTTATATTATTAATAAATAATTTCATTGTTAATTTTGTAAGATATTAAATTATTATTAATTTCAATATTATGTTGTAATTATTTTTGCACTTTTATGAAAATTTTTAAATTTATTACATATTTTCGTTATTTTAACTATTTAAAATCTACTTATGTTAAATATTGAAATAATATGTAAATATTTAAAATTTTTTGTTATTTGAATTTTATTTATTTAAAGCTATTACATATTACTAAATATTATGTTATATAGTTATTTATATATTTATAATATTTATTATTTATGATATTTATTTATTGAAATATTTAAATAAGATTTTATTTTTTAATGTTAAGTTTTTATTCTTTGAATAAAATTTAAATTGATAATCTGGAAAAACAGAATTCAAATTGTTAGTACATAATTTTTTAATATATTTTGTAAAAATATAAAATTATTTTTTTATGTTTTTAATAAATATTTTAAAGTTATTATATAATTTTGCTATAATTTAGGAGAATTTAAAGTTTTTAATAAATAGGAATTAGAGAGAATTTAGAAGAGAAACTCTCTACTAAATTAGAGATAATTTTTGAGACAAATAGGAATTAGAAATTATTTAGAAGATAAATAGGAGTTAGAGATAATTTTGGAGAAAGTGGGGGAGGTAGTTTAGGAGAAATTTTAGGAGAATAGACTTTTTAGGTTGTTGGGAAAGTACATCTTATTGGTTGTTTAAAAAATGACATGAAATAAAAAATAAAAAATTCAAAAACAGGAGAAAATTTCTTAACAGCTTTGTTTCGATATATTATATATATATATATATATATAGATGCTGAAGCTGGGATTTCAGGGTCTGCTTGTGACCCTTCTTTATTCCTCTACCACGGATACCATCATCTGTGTTCTTGTCTACGTAGATGACATCATCGTCACCGGCAACAAGCTCTCTGCGGTTCAGTCTCTCATCTCTGATCTCTCACAGTGCTTTGCATTAAAAGATCTTGGTGACTTGCAATTTTTCCTTGGCATCCAAGTCTCTCACTCTTCTGGGTGTTTGTTTCTCTCTCAACGACAATATCTGATTGATTTATTGCAGAAGGCTGAACTAGCCGATGCAAAGGCGATGAAGACTCCCCTTGTCGCCAGCAGCTCCTTATCTAGGACTGATGGAGACCTCCTCCCTGACCCAACTATGTATCGCAGCCTAGTGGGTTCCCTTCAATACTTGACGCTCACCCGCACCGATATTGCTTTTGCGGTGAATAAGACATGTCAGTTTCTCTCCTCTCCCACTACAGCCTATTGGGCAGCAATGAAGTGGATCCTCAGGTATTTGAAAGGGACCCTAACTCATGGTTTGCAAATTCGCTTTTCTCCCTCCTGTCAACTTCAAGCATTATCAGATACTGAATGGGCTGGTTGCCCGCTCCAGTACAGAAGCGCCAAGAAACAACACACAATTGCCCGCTCCAGTACAGAAGCAAAGCTCCGTGCCATTGTCTTAGCAGTCACCGAAGTTATCTGGGTTCAGCAGTTACACATAGAGCTGAAGATTGTCTCTCCTTCAGCCCCCATTGTATGGTGTGACAATGCTGGTTCTCTCTATTTGGCTGCTAATCCCGTGTTTAAAGCCTGAATCAAACACGTGGAAGCCGATTTTCTTTTTGTCTGTGATCTGGTTCATCGTCGCTTGCTGGTTGTCTGTTACCTCCCCTCTCATGCCCAAATTGCTGATGTTCTGACCAAGAGTCTGCCCACCTCTCAATTTACTACACTTCGTGACAAGCCGAACGTTCACCCCACTGTTCAGCTTGAGGGGGCGTGTAATGGATAACATAGTTATCCGAAGGTTGAGATCCGAGATTAGCATTATCTGGAGATTAGGATTAGATTCATTGTGTAACCACACCTGTTATCTCTCTGTTATTCTTATCACTGTATCATGCTTATCCGAAGGTTGAGATCAGATAATCATAATAAGAATTCCTTTTAGACAATGTTGGGAAACTTTGGGGCATTTTGTCAGATGATCAAGTCTTTCATTCCCTTAGCTTTCTAAACCTATAAACTAATTAAACTTCATAACCTCTAACTGACTTTAGGCCTATTTGTCCATGTAATTTACTTTGAAATCTTCAAAAAAGATTTTTACCTAGCTCTTTAAGGTAACCTTATATGCAATCCTAGTTAGGCTGCCTCTGTTTCCAATAGAATAATTTTGAAGCATGTTTTGGTGGGAATCGTGGGATGACTCTAAACTTGATAACTACATATTTTGTCTCCTAACATTCCTCTGATGATTTAACTGATCTACCTTCTTATGCCATGCAAACATCGAGATTGTCAATGTTGTTTTTTCTTTTTTAGTTGAGTAAAGATTGCCAATGTTGTTGAGTATTTTAGACGGAGAGAGAGAGAGAGAGACCTTTCTTGTTCATTGTGGTATAGGAGAGCTCTATGAACTCATCTGTAACTATAAGTATGTTATACATTCTTCTTACAATTCTAGTGTTTAAAGAAATAGGGTTTCCTTCACATTGAGAAACCTTCCTACAATGCCTCAAGGTATTAGATAAAATTTTGTTCCAACATGAATTAAATTTTGCGAATGCCTGAAACAAGTTGCCAAAATCTAGAAACGACCTTCTAGTTGTTTAGCTAGCTTGTGATTAAGCTTTATGGCATGGATTGAACTTAGTACATCAGTTGGGTATTTGTAGATTGAGCATTAAACATAATCACCAATTTGTAAAATCTGGAACTTCTGTGCCTGATACATTGGAAATGCTTAGAAGTAACCAACTTTTGCACCTCTACTGTTATCTACTTTCTATATTGATAAATCCCTACTATTAGCTACTTTCTTCCCTGACAAAATTTAAGAAATAAGACTAAAATTTAATATTCATGACTGCCAATTAAAACTAACTTATTTATTGGTTCTACAGCCGTACAGCTTATGCTGGTTTAAGTTTCATCGTTTTGATGAAGCAGAGAATCAGAGACTAAAACACATTTTTGCGTAGTAATTTGTACACAACATGGAACCTGTCAAGCCCAACTTCATGGCAATCCTTCTTGTCGTACCTTCCCTACTTTTTTCATCTATGGTTACTAGTGAGGAAGTCGGTAATTAAGCATCCATTTCTTGATCCTGATCTCTGTTCAACTATACTAAATTATCATAATTTGCTTTCTTAATCACTCTATCTTCTATTTCTTATTATGTTCAGAGGATGAGAGGGAGTTCAACTATTTTGAAGGAAGTAGTGTAGGTCCTGAGCACTGGGGCAAAATCCACAGGAAATGGGCGGCTTGCAGTAATGGCCAAATGCAATCTCCCATTAATTTGTTAGAGAACAATGTAGAGGTTCTTGATCATCAAGGGAAGCTTAAGAGAAGATACAACGCATCACAGGCAATTCTCATGAATAGGGGTCACGATTTAATGGTATGATTTGATCATCATCAACCCTGAATGTATCCTGCATCTTAATTTGTTCATGCTAGGTTTAGATAGAACGGTTGATGGATCAAAATTGGTTGTGTTAACATTTCCGTTCTTGTCATTTCATACAGATTAAATGGCTAGAAAGACCAGGATCAATTTACATCAATGGAACTGAATACTTCCTTTTACAGTTTCACTGGCACTCCCCTTCCGAGCCACAAAGTTAATGGTGTTAGGTCTCTCTCTCTCTCTCTCTCTCTGTTGCCATGGTTACTTAACTGTTTGTTGTATTATAGGTATCCTTTAGAGGGGCATATGGTTCATGAGAGCTCTGACAAGAAGATTGCAGTTGTGGGGATCTTGTATAAATATGGACAGCCAGATCGTTTTCTCTCTAGGGTGATGCATCTCTCTCTCTATCTATCTATCTATCTCTACATACATGATACATGAAGATACATTCATAGGTTGGTTGGTGTTTGTATGGCAGATGGAGAATTATATCTACAAAATTGCAGACAAAGCACAAAGAAAAGAACCCTTAGGCAAGGTAAATCCGAAGGACATCAAATTGCGAAGTAAAGAGTATTACAGATACGTGGGATCTCTCACAATTCCTCCCTGTACTGAAGTTGTCATGTGGACCATCCTGAAGAAGGTGAGTCACCCACACGCTGACACAAAAGCCCACCGTACTCAAAACCCAGTTCGAGGAATTTTTTTTCTTGATGATTCCAAGGGAAATCCTCCTTCAAGGATAACTTTTGTCATTGGTTCTGTGGATTAACGTCTCTCTCATAAACCTCATCGCTGACCTTACTTGCGTACGTTTACTCTTCCCATAATATTTGTTTCAGGTGACGAGTGTTTCAAAGGAGCAAGTGGCATTGTTGAAGATGGCAGTTAATGATGTAAGTACCTCTCTAACCAACAAATTTTGAGATAGTTTAGGCTATGTTTGGTTTGAAGGAAAATGGAGGGACAGGAAGGGAAACCTTTACAAACTTTGTATAAGTTCCCCTGTCTTTCCCTTCTTTTCCCTACCTTTTCCTTGAAACAAAACATAGCCTTGAGGACCGGTTAACTTCCACACCGACCTGGGCTGCAAGTTTATGCTAGGCCGGGTTCTGTCACTTCTGTGATGCTGTCTCTGTCTGGTACCATTATTTTTTGTACCTAAAACGTTTTGGGATGATTGATACAAATTGGCGGGGCAAATATTTGGTTCCTACCCAGTTGTATCCTTCTATGTACATGGTGAGAGCAAATCATCTCCCCACAAGATTGCCCCCCACAACATCCCACAGCACATTCAAGCCATGTATTGGGAACATCTCCAGATGATGATATCAGAAATGATAATGTCACCATCGGGAGATGTTCACAATACACGGCGGGGATGTGCTGTGGGATGTTGAGGGGGGCTGATTTGAAATTGTACATGGTGAATGCCAAGAAGTGAAGAAGCCATTGTACCTACAACCAAGTAAGAGCCAAATATTTCATGGGAAATATGAATTGTCACATCGCATATGAGAATCATTTCAACTAACAAATTGCATATGTAGGACTGATCATTAATACTTCAAATTTCACAATTCTGATAGAAACAATAATTTGTATTAATCAATCCAAAATGTTTTAGGTAGAAACAGCAATTGTACCAAATACAACTTATGAGAAAACAAGGGAAAGAACTGTACGATCTTCATAGAAGCTATCAGTACATCAACTAATATTAACCACTATGAGAACTTTAGGGTTTGCCTATAGGGCTGCAAATGGAGAGAGACAGGATCTCTTAAAATCAAGAACCATGCCAGCACTCTGAGAGCACGACCATATCAATAAACATTCTCCCATGAATTTAATAACATGTATGGGAGATGTTATCAATGTGCAGCTGGATGCCATGTTGTCAGAGTGTTCACATGGTTTTTGTTTTCAAGAGATTCAGGCTTCCGAATGGACTGAATTACATATACTTGGATCTAAATTTGAGTAGTTAATATTTAGATTCAAATAAAATCGTATCTATCAAGTTTAGATGGATGCAGATTAAAGTCAAATGATATTTGCATATCGAATGACATATTAATAAATTGAAATAAAAATGACTTTTATGTTGTATGCTATGAATAAATCAAATTGAAGATATTACTTTCTAGTGAACATACTAACATTTAATCCAAATTTATTAATAGGTACAATATATTATTTTGTGCGTGGTTCAAAGCATGTTAAAAATGAACCGGTGATCGAACCGGTCAGGGGTTCGGTTATTGGTTCGAACGATCCGACCATTCGACCCGAACGGCTTTCCCATTGTGACAAAAAAAATAAAAAAATTTAAAAAATTGAAAAACGGTCAAAACCGTTTAAACGGTTAACCGGCCGGCAGGTTCAACTGTTTTCTAACCAAAATCAATGGTTTTGGAACAAAATGGAACCGGTTCCCGGTTCGAACGATCCGGTTTTGAAAACAGTACTTCAAAGTATCAAAGTAGCATATCATATTATATGTATCGGATTTCAGGGTTAATGATATATAGTAAAAGACTTAAACATACCCTCAGTTTTATCTTGTAGCTGACAACTCTGTACTTAAGCATACCCTCCATCAATGAAACATTATATGTGAAATCATTTAAAATTTCTAAAATCCTATTTTGCCCTTTTTAACATATGAGACTTTCTTGTGTGTTAATCTACTCATTACCCGTGTTTGTTGGTTAAAGCTGTCTTTTTATTAGACAAAGCAAAAGCGGCTTGAACCAAAAGTTTTCTCTTAAACAAAATCTTCGATACCCAAAATCATTATTCAACAAAATTGGAAATTTTGAATTATGTTTTCACAGTAGTAGACATTGTGATTTTAGTTGTAAAAGGGATTAGGTTTAAAACACTGAGAAGTAAGAGCTTTTCTTGTAATGTTAGAGAGCACATTTTAGATATTGGAATCATCAATCAACCAACGTTGGAACCTGTATAGGGTTTATATTGGTATCAGAATCTGTACAGGGTTTAAATTGGTGTCAGAATTTGACGTGAACTGAGTGGGACTCATCAAACAATGTAAAGATAAGCTTTCTGATTCTAAATAACTAAATGACATTGTATAGCCAAGATCTACTGTTGACATCTAATTGTTGGAATCTGTATGGCCAAAATTTGACTTGAATTGC